CAATACAGGAGATAATCGGGTCGTTAGACTCGACTTTTCCGAGTTTCGCTTTGGTGCTTCATGGACGGAAATCATGAGAGAGAAGAAGTAGTAATGTTCTTCTAATTGATCACATATATGTATACCAGTACTTTGTCATATAATTTTTCCTTGATTCTATGCCTTCAAATTTGTGAAGCGTTCAACGGTTGAGAAGCCAAGGTTCAACTTGCTTTGTTTCCAATTTGGGCAACACTTGCTTGCCGTTCAAAATTCTTATTTCCCAAACCATATATAGTAACGTAAAATTGCATTATTTCGGAAATCAAGTGTACAATCAGTGTTTATGCTGGAGACGCTCGTGCGTCCCGTGCTGAATTAAGCAACGTCAACTTGACCCAACTTGGCTAGCTCTTCTACGATAGCGATTGCCCTCTTGAAATTCTTCTTGTCCTCCTCTGTCGCTTCCACAGATGACTGTCCCTCCCCGCAGCCAGCTGGACCGCCATTGATCCATTCGACGTTATCGCTTCCATACATCAGCCCTATATCCTCACCATAGATATCTTTGCTTCCTGGAGGATTCTCTGTCGGAAGTTTCTTCAAAATACCTTCTAGTTCGCTGATGAGCTCATCGACTTTGGTGTGGGAAGACGTAGGTAAGGTTGCCTGGGCGGTCGGCTCATCTGGAAGTCTCTTTTGGTCGTGAGCACGTTTGGTTTGTTGGAAGAGAATAGAAGCGTTGCCATCAGATAATGAGGATGTGAATGTCTGGACAGATGTTGGGTTAGGAGGAGCAAATCCTCCCGTGATACCTGAACATACACTCATCCGTTAGCACGTCTAGAATAAGCAAGGGTAATGACTGCATACCGTGCTGCAAACGGATATAAAATTGCTTTGGCATGACGATATTCCAATTATGACAAGCACCAAGAAGATAAGAAATACGAATGTACGATCTGGCTATTGCGCGATCAGACGAGAACAGTGCGATTTCACTCGTGATGTTTCGAAAACGCACTTACGTGTATCGTTTGTGGTGGGGGGGATCAAGTGTGGCGTGTGCGTATGACTGCATGGATCCGAATTGGGCGAGTAGCTTGCTTTGTCAAGATTACGCCTTGACTGCGTTAGGCCGCCAACATCCACGACAATATTTTCATCGTTTTACGCGCAAAGAACGCTTAGGAAAATGGTTGGATGGGGGTGAACAGCGTATGACACGACGCGTCGGCCGTCCCACCTCTGAGTGACCAAGAAAACCCTGTTATGTCGCCGCTTGGGTGAACCTTCTGCAAGTCATCAGCAATCACAGGAGAACCAGACGAAAGATACACGTTCATAATAGGCAAAGGGTGAGAGCTCGTCTTCAAGAAGCCGTCGCTTGACCCGCTTGCTAACCACACAACTTTCCATTAGATTCAGCCCCAAACTATCGCTCAACCACATTTCATGGGTCGATGGAATTCATTATGTCTCCTATTAACTGGCTGAAAGGGTTTCTCCTCGTTTTCGTCGTGTTCAACTTTTCGTTCTTTGTCCGACTTTCGAAGACGAAAAGAGAAGACGTATGCCATGCCTTCTACGCATTCTAATAATAGCACTCTTATCATACGGTTCTCGTAGAACGTTCAATCTGTTCCTATTTCAACGGCACGTGTAATGCTTCGCGGCGAAGTCCCACCCATACAAATCGCAAAATAGGCGTAGGCAGGAATAGGATCACTTCTCAACATCGAACTCGTATCCTACTCTGCTTGCATTCGATACCTGCACCCGTCTGGGTCGCTCCGGGGAAGCCCACTTGGGTAGGGAAGAGAGATGGGACATTGTT